TATATAAGGATATTTATTACATTAATTTTTATTATTGATCAGATTTTTAACCGGTCGGTCAAGGGTCTCTGACCGACTGGTATCGGTTAACGGTTATGACCGGTCATGACCGGTCATAACCGTAACCGTTGCCATCCCTAATCCTAACCCTAAATTTGTGGTTTACGCACTTTATTTATAAAATTAACCCTAGCTCTCCCACAAAAAATTGTTTACTCCCAATTGACACTGACCGTGACAAGGATGTTCCAGTAAGATATGAAGAATTTAAAATTCTCCTTAGATGTAAATTCAGAAGTAAAAATAAAATCGGCTACAATGATATAGAACGACTGTCCTCTGTTGTAAAAACCTACCATGATGATCATATAGGTGCGATAGATACCAACCAAGGGTATTCTACCAATTCGAAAAGCGTAGCCCCTCAAATGAAAATTATGTTATGTCACACGACGAATTTTATTAAAAAAATTATCGAAAAGTAAGATATTTAAGTTTCAAATGAGGTTTCGGATGAAAATGAGGTTCCAGAAGTTCTAGATAAATAACATAGAATTTTATTTTATCATTATATTTTAATTTTATAATTTAGAATTTATATTACATAGTATAAATTTTAATTAATGTAATGAATTTTTTTTATTAATTTTTAATGAACAAAATTCGAATATATGATTTCTGCTTTAAAATATTTAATATTTTTACTCCAAAGTATGATACTCTAATTAGCAAACCAAATTCTTTAATTGCTAAAGGATAAATTCGAGTAAAGATAATATTGCTAATTGCTTATTGTTTTTTATACATGTGAATAAATAATTCTATCTCCAATTTGACTAATTTTTATACCTCTTTAATATAATTACAATTTTTTTTTGTGTATTTATTCACTGATTTATACAAATGTATAATAAACCATTTCGCAATAACGTTAAGTTTCCAATAAATCTCATATTTAATAATCACCAATCCAATAAACAAAATAAACATTATCATAATTAACGCTTTGAAAAAATAATTCCAATTTTGTCTCTTCAATGCTCGTATAATCCCACGAAAATAGTATCTTGCTCCAGCCATTTCTCTAAATCCAGGCTTTCTTATAACTTGAAAAACTTCATATTCGTCAATATCATATTCTGACGAGGTCGTATATGGAAAATTTCGAGGTTTCTGGATATGTCATGGACTTCTGACTATTATAAATTGAACCAGAATCTTTAATAATCAGATCACCAGCATATCCCCATCCAGGACCATATTTTCGGTCATAATAAACGGAGTATTTATTGCGGCGAATTCGGATCAAATGAATTATTATCTATTTAAAATTTACGCGTCAGGGTAAAACTTTTAGGTTTTAATTAGAATTTGTTAATAAGAGTATAAATGGTTCAAATAGAAATCCCAAATTTCATTTTAATCTGATTTCATTATAGTCCGATATTTATTTTTGAAGTAAAAATAATAGAAGATACCTTTTTTTGTCTTTATATAGTGCTACCTTACAGTCATACCTAGAACGTGTTATTGTCAATTCTTTGGAATCTGTCGAATGTATTAGCTGCACCAGGGTCGGAATTGGTAAATTCATCCCAATTACCCAAAATTTTACTAATAAAAAATGGTAGCACACGTACTAAGGCCACACCAATTTAAAACTAGGTTTAACATAACCCCCCCTTGAGCCTCAGATATAGGGTAATTAACATCATTTAATATAAAAATCATTAACTGTTCAAAAAAATTTTTTTTGGCCAATCAAAATCCCGTTTTTTTTTTACCCCCTGTTTAGACTTGCAGATCATTTTATTAGTGTTATGTTAAACATAGAATCAAATTGGTAAAGTTGCCCAGATGATAATTTTGCTATAGTATATAGTTGACTGGTATTATTGCTAAATGCCGGCCTATCTCCAGGCCTATTCCGACCCTAATTTTTGGTCGATCCGCTGAATGTTGGTTGTGCACTAACCGGTAATTTTCCAAAATAAATAATTTGTCGTGACTCCCTAATTTAAAATCTTCATTAATTTCTTTTTGCTTTCGTATTTTGAAGGTTTAATCTCATCAAATTAATAATAACAATAGCTAAGTAGGAATTTTTTGATCAAGTGCATATGGGGTCTTTGCTTAAAATGACCCTCCGAAGCATTGTTACACACAATTTTTAAGAAAACAATAGTATTTTTGAAAAAGGATTCATAGTAAAGACCCCATATCACATGATCTAAAATTTTGGGTTGCTGGTAGTTATTTCGCGTTTATACGGTAGTGATTCTTTTAGCTTACAGCAAGTTTATGCAGAAAAATCATTTAAATTTCATGTATTACTATAATGAAAACTAGGAAAGGGTCATAGTTTGGGCAAATTAATTTATCTATAGATGTTTTCATTTTGTAATCTTTATTTAATTAATAAATAAATATAAATCATTAAATACATAAAAAAATCTCCAAATAAAAGTCATGTCTAAAAATTAAACAAATTTTCAAAGTGATGAATAATTTAAAAGGTTAAGATGATCCTGTCTTCAGCTGTTCTAATTGAATCGTTAATGCTCGAATTGTCACATCGCGCTGCGCCAACTGATTTCGAAGATCATCATTTTCTTGACGAAGTTGATGATATGCATCTTGGTACTATTATATGAAATCACAAGCATAATATTAATAATGAGTAAGGTTTTTAAGATTTAGGAATAAAAATAAATTACGCACTTCTTTTTCAGTCTTCGGAGTTTGCGCAACAGGTTCTTCTTCCTTTGGTGCAGAAGAAACAAATTCTTTCTTCCCTTTGGCCTGAAATCCATGCTCTAAACTAATAGTTTTAGGTTTGGCATTTTTACCACCAAAAAATTCGTCTGCTGAGAGAGCCGGTTCACCGCTCAATGCTGGAGGGAATAAATCTGATTGGAATGCATCAGACTAATAAGAAAATAAGAAAATACGTTCATTTAATAATAAATCATATATAAATTTTGATGCTAGTAAATAATAATATTGCATACCCTTCTTGGCACAACAAAAGAAATTGGTTCAATGGTATTACTAGAAACCTTATAAGCTCTGTCAATTTCACATTCTGATACACCGACACCACGCTTTGGCATAAATGCCATTCCACGTTGGGGTTCAGATGATTTATATTCAGTCAGGTAAAATAAATCATCATTTTCAAATTCGTAATATCTAATGTTACCATCACTGTATTACATTAAGAAAATGATATGTTAGTAATAATATATCTAAACAATACATTAATTATATTTAAATAAATACAAACCCCTAAGAAAATGGATTATGATTGTAATATTCGAATTTTTTTAAATAATCATTTTAATAAAATAAATAATGATATAATCAATAAATGTTAAAAATTTTCACCTTGCCAGCCAAATACAGTATCTTAAGATCATTGTCATAAAATGGCATGAGTACACCAGATGACGTGTCCACCATGATACTCTTTAATGGTTTATCAAGATTAGAAGAGTCCCACAAAAACAATTGACGGTCGCTCATTTTCGAGAAACCTGTTGTCACGATTCGTTCGGTATCACCAAGCCAAACGACTCTAGAACCTTTAATACCCTGGTGACTGGATGCCTCTTGAACAACATTTCCAGAGCGAACATCAAAAATTCTAAGCTTCTTATCACGACATGTCGTAGCTAATAAACTACCATTATAATTCCAAGATATGGATTGTATAAAATCTAAGAAACCTTGGAGTGTTTGTTTTTCTTGACCTTTTTCAATATCCCATAATTTTACAGTAAGGTCAGCTGATGTTGAAGCAAGTACATTATCCGCTACGGGATGGAATAAAACATGACCCACTTTCCTATGGAGTTGAAAAAAATAATTAGTGTATATTTAATATTATTCATTGCTTAAATTATTGCCTTTGTAAAACGATCTGTTTCTTCTATAATCAATTTCTTACCGTCCGTGGCCATTCAATTTAGCGACCGGCGCAATATCAGGAGATTCAGGTTCTCCAAGTTCCTCTGGAATATTCCAAATCATCACCTTAGAGTCCTCGGAACCGGACGCAATAACATAATCATTAAAGGTCGCAAAATCCGTATCCAATACTGGAGCTGTGTGTCCACGATATAGCGGTATACCATCACTTATTTTACCTAGCATTAGGCGTGTATACGATTAAATCGGTAATATTCATCAAATAACATTATCTGAATGGCATAAGACTTACCAACATTCTTATGTGGTATCACAGCGAAAGCACCACCTCCACCGGCGTTCCAATTGATGGCAACAAAAAGCTAGGAACAAATATAATGATTAAAAAACAGAAATGAAGGGTTATTAACAAGGCATTAAATATCCAATCGAACAACGGTATCAACGAAAACTTACAGGATTAACTTTAACAAGGTTGGTATCCCATGCATTCGCCGAAACTTT